AAAGAGACCGACAGAAAAGCATATTTTGGTCTGGACGAGCAATAACCGCTCCAGCCACAACAGAACGTAGGACGAGCCTCTGGAGCGTCGTTCCCTTCATCGCAAAACAAGCTCTTTTGCCCTTCATTTCGTATTAGATTTGGCCGAGATAAAACTACCGATTGCGTGCCGTTTATGTTTGGTTATTTTCCGTAATTCGTTTTTTTCTCTCTGGAAGTTCGGATTTCTTTTTTTATTGAACTGCAAAGAATTAGGGAATACAATCGAGATATGAAACCGTCAATTTATAGAATTTCTTTCTTTTCTGATAATTGAGAACTTGAGTAAAGAAAAAGGTAGGCAATCTCAGATATACAGGGTGAGTCTTAAATAAGTGCAAATATTTTCAGGGATCATAGTCGTGTTTCTGGGATAACAATATATTACCTTTAAAAATATTTGCACTTATTTAAGACTCACCCTGTAGAAAAATCTAAAAAAAACTACTGGGACTGTCAGAAACATGTAAGTATAGAAAAAAGCTATATCGGCTATAATCGGCTTGCCAAGTGTACTTGGCACTTGTGTCTAGCCCTAGCAGGCAACTATTAAGCCCGACCAATCACGTTAGAGTTTTTGACAAACACAAATGAATTAACACCTTCCAAATAACAACGCTAACCAACCTGATTGGTCAAGCTTAATAGTTGACTGCTAGGGCTAGACACTTCTGTACTTGGCCAGCCTTGACCAGCCTTGTTTACACTTGCCGAGGCGCAAAAAAACGACTGCGCAAATAATTGTACTGTTACAGGGTTTGTCCAAGTTATTTCCGGATTGTAGTATTTTTCGAGTTAATTGCGGATAATTCAAAACGTTAACACAATAATAGATTATGTAATATCAAATTTAAGTTATTAACTTAATTGGCGGCATCTAAATCGTTCCCACAGCATTAAATGGAGTGGACAAATGAAGACTACACGGGAAAAACCAGATATGTCACACTTTCATAGAAATTAAGATAGCGACGTTGAGCGATACAACTTTGTGGACAAATGTTAACGTCATTCGAGAAAAAAGAAAGCAATAATACGCTTAGTCCCAGTTAGTAATACGAGTAGTCCACGCGTAAATGGCAAAAACCAGAGATGTACTGACGCATGGGCGACAAGCATGCATCTTGCAATTAGTATTATATGTTATAAATTTATGTATTGTAACAAAAACCGACTTAAATATTAATTTTCTTCCTACAACAAAAAATGAACAGTTTAGATTTAGGATTTATACAACCTTTAATTGAACATCCCTGGTTTTTTCCCTGTTTTGTTTTGCATTTTGACATTTTTATTTCGATATAAGGTAGAATATGGCGATAATTCACAATATTAATAATTCAGAATTGGTATCTACATATATAAAATGCTAATGTTTATCTGTGTCTATCTCTAGAAAGCTGATTTTTTACTAAAAGATAGTTAATTGGCTCTTCTAAAAACTGTCGTCGCCGGATTTTTTGTTTTTCATTTAATTCAAAAAAATATTCCTTTTCCTGATGTCGTGGCGGATGCGCCAGTAACTAGTAATTATATATTATATTAACTAGTAATATATATTTTCTAATTATTCAACAGAAAATAACATATTCCTTTAAAAACACACAATTTCATTTTTCATTCAACTTAAAAAGAAAAAAGAATCACTAGCAACGACAATTTCTGGACGACCGGTATATCCATCAATGCGACTATACTGTTTACTTGCCAAGGATTTAAACAATGTTTGTGCTGGCGTACTTGTTGAAATGGACACGTCGTGTGAGCGCCTCACTTGCCGATGTTGTTTACAAAGTGGGGACTGGTGGGGATACTTGCCAAGTACGGAAATATTGGCGTATTTGCCAAGTAGACTAGTCGTGAGAATGCGCCTTTATATTTATAGCTAATTCAATACTATCAGACACTCGTCTACACCAACATCATTTTATACGCATCTTCTAATTCCGCTTTGCGATTTCTCGGCTCGACAAACATCATCCCCATTAACATTTTACTTATAATCAAGACATGTAAATCTCGCAGCCGCCGCCTTGATGTATATGCACTTTCGTTTTAACGGATTTTCCTCTGAGTTTTACATTAAAACAGCGCACTTACCAAAGCTTTTCGGGCGGAATTGGACTTAAATTGAATAGTTAAATGCCACACGTACACAGCCATTCCAATTTAACTCCTGAAAGAAGAAGAAAGGAATGACTGCAAAAGTTGTGTGAGCATCAAATATATTAAACGTATATAAAGATTCATATAAAGGAAACCTATCCGCATATACGACAAGATTGTAACGTTTTTAGTTCGTTACATGTCTTTTTTATATATAATATATGATGTCTGGCCTATCATCACCGGATTCCCTCTCGTTCAGGCCGGATAGTTTATTTGACGCGTAATTTTTACGTTCTCTAGTCGCCAACCCTGTTATCGTTCGACACAACCCTGTTACTATTCTGTGTAGGCGCGCGCTGTCAACATCGCTTCTGTCAACTCTCCGTGCTTAACCTCACTTTGTTTTGACGCTCTGTTGTATCCCAGCTTTTAGAAATGGTGATTATTTAAATCTTGCTGTATAATCTGAATCAGCTGCTATTTCAAAGCAACAGGTAAAGATGAAATATTATCCTTATAGATTCGATATTATTATTGAATATTTTAGGGTAGAGTTACGGATGTCCCAACTTGTATTTGTGTTTTGCTGGCACGTTGGCGTCCCTTTTCTTTTGTCCTCCAGAATGTCACATGGAAGAAAGGACATGTTGTTTATTATTTATTGAGCCCTCGGAAGTATTTCGAGGTAGGTTTATTTTGTTTATTAGACCTTGTTTGGTTTTAAACAAGAGTTTCATATTTTTAGGGTCCAAGATACGGATTGTGTCCAAGGTACGGACTATTTCCAAGGTACGGACAGTGTCCAAGGTACGGACTATTTTCAAGGTACGGGTAGTGCCTTATGTACAGACATTATCTTATGTACAGATGTCCTGTGGACGAGTGTCCCCAGTAAGAACGATTTTTTCTTACATCTAAGTACCACAGCGTCCATGTAGCTTGAGTCCCATGCTGCTTCACTCACATTTCTAAGCTTAGTCAGTAGCTACGGCTGTAAGGATTCATGGTGTCCTCAATCTGGCCCCTTTTGTTGTTTTGACCAACAGGATCGCCGACAGACAGTACAGAGATGCTAGACCACCTCACGCTGCTACTGTTTGAAGCAAGGTTACATAAAAGAACAGCTAAGTGTATATTTAAGTTCTAGTTTTACATTTAACATCTAAAACATTTTCAGTCTTAAACAATAACGTACATCTTAAGTAATATCGTACAGACTATGTTCAGTGGTTAGATTGTTAAGAACATTCATGTCGATATAATCTTTAAGATATAATTTAGATCTTAGGTTTCATTGCATTACATCTTGTAATGGTATTACTTTTATAGATATTATTGCACTATTTTAATAGATGGATAATCAAACATAGATTCTAGAATCTACAGGTGTAACATCTTCGATTTAGCATCATATGGAATATATCAAATTAATTAAAGTAATGCTACATTTCATATTTTCTCTTAAACTTTACATGTCCTGTATTTTATCGTAGTTGTTTTCTATTGATATTTAGTACGACTCCTACCACCACTTTCTTTGACATATAACCACTATATATTTACTAGAACTCTACAATGTCATGTATCAGCAAAGAACGTCATGAATAAATATAGTCATTAGTTTTAAGTATTACACAACTGTGTTTTCTTTCTCTGTACATGCCTGGCGCCAAATATCTATATATCTTTTGTTAATTATTACTGATTAATTTTCTCTCTAATGAAATACCTTATCCACGACTGCTCTCCGATGAAAAGCTGCCGTTCGCAGTGGTAGTGGTTTAAAAAACGCTACAAGATATTGGAATTCTTAAAATCAGAATACCGTTTTATTTCCAAAGTAACTCACCTCTATAACTTTTCTATTTCTTCGGATGAAAAACAGATATGTTATGTTAGTATATGACATAAATAGTTACTTACTGCCATTACTCGCTGACGAGTATTTGACACGCATCAGAAGATGGTTACGCAAGGCATTTTCTTTCATGAAGCGCTGCTAATCTGTGCTGAATTAGAGATATTGGTCTTTTCCGAAATCAAACTGGTAACCAAGGTAATTGAATTCCGCTACATATTTCAATAGTTCTTCTCCGATTTTTATTGCATTGTTATGATTTTCCGGTGTAATTGAATCATGTGATTAACTGGTGTTAATCACATGATTTTAGTTTTATCGATGTTCAGCTTAAGGTCCAAAGCCTCGTATGCCCAGGTATGTGTTCAGCATTTCATCTAATTGCTGTAACGTCTTTGCAACTAGAGCGCAGTCATCAGCGTATTGAAGTTCTGCGATGAATTTTATACGTATTTTTGCCCTGAGTCTTTTTATGTTGAACAGAGCACCGTCATATGTGTATCTAATGCTTATTCCTCTTTCCTGCAGTTTGCTGTCCACTATAATAGAGAGCGCTGCCATGAATATGTTAAATAGGACAGGCGCTAAGATACATGCTGCCTAACTCCTGTGTTTGTTAGGAAGGGATCGCTCAGTGATCCATGATAGTGGCACTCTAGACTTGTTGTTATGGAGGCTTTTACACACTGCAAGAAATTTGTTAGGCACTCCGAACTTTCGCATAATCGCCCAAAGTGCATCTCTGTTTACAGAGCCAATTAAAATACACTCATCGGCAAAAGTCTTGCACCCCCCAGACAAATTTATTTCTTTGCATAGCATATTGTTGTGGCTATGTGTACAAATACCTTAATATGTGTCTACAAAAAATAGGTCATAAAAGCAATGAAAGAAAATCTTATCGATGGAATGTGTATGGTTTTGCTATTTGCGGTCAAATTTTGTTTCTCAGTTCGAGTTCAATCTTGTAGTAAGCGTTGTGACCGGCGACAAAAATGCCAGGGCACGAAATTTCTGCCTTCGATAGGGCCCGAATTATCGCTTTGCATGAAGAAGGTCTCAGCAGGCAGCAAATTGCTGATCGTTTAAATTTAGTGCGAAGTACTGTAAGCCGAATTATACAACGGTATATGGACACCGGAAATGTAAGATCTCGTCCTAGGTTGGGTCGTCCAAATGTAACGACTGAACGACAGTATCGCTACTTGGCTCAATTTGCCAGAAGATTTCGGTCAGTTCCAATTCGAGAGCTACGATCTCAGTTTCAACGAACTTACCACCGAGTGATATCAAGCCGAACCATTTCCAGGCGACTTTCTAATGCTGGATTGCGGCGTAGACCTCCACTGCGAGTCCATCTATTAACTTTACATCATAAGCAAAGGAGGCTACAGTGGGCTAGAGAACACCAGAACTGGTTATTACCTCAGTGGAAAAACGTAATTTTCACTGACGAAACCAGGATAGGTTTGATCAGTGATGACTATCGTCAGCGAGTGTGGAGGGAGGCAGGGAGGTGGCATCGCTTCAATACAGCCCTTGCTATTGCTCCTTATCAAGGAGGAACTGAGATGTTCTGGGGTGGCATCATGTACAATAGGCGAACAGAGCTCATTCATACTCGAAGATACTGAGGTGATGAACGCCCATTTGTATGTGGAACTGTAATCAGACCAATAATTTATCCACTGCGAGAAGAAATCGGCAATAATTTTATTCTCATGGATGATAACGCTCGTCCTCACAGAGTTAGGATGGCCCAGGAAGCATTAAATGAAGAGGAAATAACTTATCTGGACTGGCCTCCACTCTCCACCGACATGAATCCTATTGAACATGTCTGGGACTACATCACCAGAGCTGTATTTCGCAGAAATAACCCACCAATAAATCGCCAGGAGTTGATCATTGCCGCTCAAGAAGAATGGCAGAACTTACCTCAAGAAACCATAAACAACCTTATAGTGGGGATGCCCCGACGACTGGATGCACTCATAACAAATCGAGGAGGCAATACTTTATATTGTAACCTGAATTTTGCCAGAATTTATTATTTGTTTATTTATTTTCTCTTTTTTGTCAAACATTTTTCTTCATGGAATTTGCTTTTTTTTTGTATTTTGGCAAAATATATTATTAAACTTGGTGAAAGTTTTCCCTTTTTTGTGTTATTTTTTAACATAGCTTTAGCATCTATTGATTTCCACGAAAATTAGTTTGAAATGTAATTTTTTATTAAAATAGTAAGGGGGTGCAAGACTTTTGCCGATGAGTTTATTATAAAAGTGACATAGTTATCAAAAACCTCGTAATTGCAAAAATTATTGGAAAATAAAGACAAAGTTTTCTTCCTTTTCTTCCGCATTATGCCACTGTCACAATTTCATCGAAATTTTATCGGCTCTCCCTTGAAGAATTTAATTTCCCCACAAATATTTGCTTAATTTTAATACAGAGCATGAGATAGAGGTAATGTTTCAGAGGTGGCTGCTGCCTCTGCCGTTAAAGATATTTCAAATATTATCTCGAGACCAACTGCTCCGGCGGCTGCCTCAGCTTCGTATAATGACATAACTTTTCGGAAAAAAGAAGTGACATTGAGGGGCGGAAAGTTTAATAATGGCTTGTTAGCGCGAAAGTTTAATAACGTATAGCAAAATGGAGGAGGACCGAGATAAATACAGGTGAAAATTATAGTAGATGGATTATGGAGACCGTTTTTTATTTGTTTTTTTTTCTCGTCTACCATTGATTCTAAAAGTTGTTAATCCACATTCTGCGCCTAGCATTTCATCAGGCAATTATCTTGAATAAAAATAAAAAGAGTTTGTGTACCTAAGTCGCGACTTATTCTTAACTGGGTACTTAGACAAACTACATTGGTGGCGGGTTAATTTCTTGATAAAAGTTGAAAAAACGTTAAAAACGATAGTCTTGAAAAAACTATTTAAAATATCTATATACAGGGTGGTCCGAACTGTATTCCGAAAAGTTTAGCAAATAAAATAATTAAAAAAGTTCATATAAATGTATGTTCTAAAATGCTTAGTTTCGGGGATACAGGGTGTAGAAGTTTCATTTTTATTTAGATTTTTTCAAAATAATTTCTGAAGTAACGTCAATATTTGGATGAAAAATGGTATCTGGGAGTTTTTTGACTTAAGAAATTTGAGTTTGATGTCAATATGACTTTTATTGTTATAAATTGTTCTGAAGAGTAATAACTTTTCTTCCGTACCCGTATAAAACTACTGAGTGAAAAAATGTACAGAGTTAAAAATGTTTCTTGCTAAAAATCGCTACGAATAACCGTTTTCAAAATATTTAGAGTAGAAATAGTCAATAAATGTCATTATTGACAAAAAATAAACATGTTGAGTAGGTACATAATTATTTGACTGAAACTATGAATGTGAGAACTCTTTATTTTTTAAACTAAATCATAAATTTTTCTTCGAAAAAATAATGATAAAACAGTTTCTGTTGAACTTTTGGTACAAACACATTTCAAATCTATTGATTTCAGTCTAATAACTATTTAGTCAATATGTTTAATTTATGTCAACGATGAGATGTATTAATAATTCAGATTCTAAATATCTCGAGAACCATCACTCGTAGCGATTTTTACCAAGATACCTTTTTTACGTAAAAAACGTAGTAAATATATATTTTTTTACTCAGTAGTTTTATTCAGGTACCGACAAAAAGTTATTACTCTTCAAACTAGTTAGAAAATATATAGATGGCGCCTCCTACAAGTAGGTGTCATATTTACATCAAAATCAAATTTCTCAGGTTAAAAAACTCCCAGACACCAATTTTTATCCAAATATTGACGTTACTTTAGAAATTATTTGGAAACAAATCGAAAAAAAAATGAACCTTCAACACTTTGTATCTCCGAAACTAAGCATTTTAGGACATACATTTATACGAACTTTTTACTTGGCTAATTTTTATTCCGCTGTTGTACTCGGTGCCAATTGAGCAAATATATAAACTTTCAATTTGTAGGTATTAGTTTAGTTTTAATCATCTGCTGATGATGCTAACATTGTTAGCGAAACGCGCGTCCAGTGTAAAAGTAAAAGTGTTTTGGTGTATTAGTGTTTTATTTTGCACTCTGCATAAAATAACAACATCTTTTGAATTGCAAGAACTGCATTGAGAGACTTGACTTTTGTACATTTTATGTTTTTGATGGGATTTTCATTTACACTAATAGTTTGATAATAAAATATTAGAAACATTAAGCAATAGTATATTACATACCGAGGAGAGAAGTGTTTCATTATTGTCGAGAGATTAACTAAATCTCGTGACATTAATGAAAACTATCCTCTAAGGTTTGTATACTATTTTATTTACAACCACATCATTAATTAAAAAATAGGGACACTATTTTATTTTGAAAAAAAAGAATAAATATGTGAAAATTTGTCGTTTTCTGTTTAGGCATTTCCATATCTATAGTGACCGGTACCAGTGGTTATTATGACGCAAACCTTCAACAGCAAAACAAACAACTAAATGACAGTTTTGAATTTCTCGTTCGCTTTTTCGAATTTGTATAACATAGAAAGCCAGAATGTCGTCGGAAAGTTCTGATAATGAAGACTACTTTAATATTGGTACTCCACCAGAACTTACAGAAGCCGCAAAAAGAGCAGAAGCCAGTTTACTTCCAGAGAAAAGTAGGGGGCGATATGAAATAGCATTGGAAGTATATGAAAAATGGTGTGCCGAAAGAAATGCTAAGAATATTGCTTCGGAGACAGTCTTGATGGCATATTTTAGCGACATGGCAAGGCAGAAAAAGCCATCTACCCTTTGGGCTACGTACAGCGTGATACGGACAATGCCAGATGTGGTGGTACTCCACAGAAGTCTAGAATTATATATATATATATATGCCAGATAACATATATATATATATATAGATATATATATATATATATATATATATATATATATATATATATATATATATATATATATATATATATATATATATATATATATATATATATATATATATATATATATATATATATATATATATATATATATATATATATATATATATATATATAAATTCGAGGTCAGAACGTCCTATGACGTTGTCCGATGCCTAATTTCCACCCTGTGCGATTTTCCCATTGATCTTCGGTCAGATTTTTCTCGCTCATCGACCTTCTTATTCCTTCCATCCATGTTTTCTTGGGACGTCCTCTCTTTCGTTTACCAGGTGGTATCCAATGAATGACTTGTTTTGGAATTCTTTCATTGTGCATTCTCTGAACGTGACCGTATCATATTAATTGTTTTTGTTCTATATCATTTACTATTGTTCCCTCTATTCCCATCTGTTGTCTAATGTCTTCATTTCTGATCTTATCCCTCCGTGAAATTCTCATTGCTCTTCTAATCGCGTCCATTTCTGTTGTTTTTAATTTCCTTTTATTCCTTTCAGTGAGTCGCCATGTTTCACATCCATAGAGTAATATGCTTTTAACTAGTGTCTCGTATATATTATATTTCCTGTTTTTTGTAATTTCAGTGCTCCATAGAATGTAAAGATTTTGTACGGCTTTTATCAGAGCTGCGTTAATTCTTGATTCGTGCAATACTTCCCATAATTTTATTATTGGCACTGTATCATATGCTTTTTGTAGATCGATGAATGTTATATGAACTTCCTGGTTCATTGCGGATTTCTTCTCGATGATCTGTTTCAATGCAAAGATATTATCTGTACATGATCTTCCGCTTCTGAAACCATTCTGCTCTTCTTCATCGTAGCTGGAGTATTCCTCTTCAATTAAGTTCCTCAGTATCCTTCCATAGAGGCGACTCATAGTGCTGGTGACCGAAATTCCCCTGTAGTTATTGGGATCCTTCCTTGAGCCCTTTTTATATATAGATGAGATATATGCTTTTTTCCACTGTTCAGGTACTGGATGACCATTTAAGCACTGGTTAACTACGTTTGTTAACATTCTAAACAGTTTTTTCCTTCCAGATTTTATGAATTCCGCTTATACTCTCTCTGGGCCACATGCTCTTCCATTCTTTAAAGACATTATAGCGGTCTTTATTTTGTTGGTATCCACGTAGATTTCCTCTCCTTCAATGTTTATTTCTGGCTGTGGCGGTTCTTGATACTCAGGTCTGTTCTCTGACAACAATTTGGAATAATATTTCACCCATTCTTTGTTGGTTATTATTTCTATAGGGGCTGACTCCTGTTTTTCAGTTGTTGTTGTTTTTATAAATCTCCATACTTATTTACGTATTCTTCTTCTTACTACGTATTCCTTCTTCCGCCTATATACGTATTAATTTCTTTGCATTTGTCATCCCACACTTTATTCTTTTCTTCTTTTACCATTCTCCTCACCTCCTTTTTCTTGTCGTTATAAGTGCGCTTGTCTAGTTCAGATTTCGAATTTAGCCATTTCAAATACAGTATCTTATTTTCCTCTACAAGTTTTTCAAGTTCATCAGTCCACTACAACTTTCTGCTCTTTCGTCTCGCTTTTATTCCTAATGCTTCCTCTGCGGCTCCATGAATACTGTCAATTATATTATTGTATGTTAGGTGAAAAGGCCTTTCCGAATCTTCTATAAG